TCAAAGTGACGGTTGAATTGAGGTTTGACTTCAAAAGTTTTTGTATAGGCAATAGACAACATAGATTGGTTCACGTCAAATTTTGGTAATTTTTCGGATCCGTTTGATAATTTTAATTTATTAACTGTAATTATAGACTTTTAATTGATATAAATTGGATTTGAGCTATAATTGCATGAAATAATGGATTAATATTCGTAGAAAAATCAAATATACAATGTTGAATGAATTTGACAAGGTATTTTTAAATTACATCGTAACAAATTTAGTAGAACACGCTATGAAGAGGACGGGGGAGTATGAAATATCAATTTATTTTGCCGAGTATTTTCTACCTGACACTCGGCGAAAAGAATAGTTGCCGAGTGTCATATAGGGGACACTCGGCAACTTCGTCTACCGGCCCCACTGCATAGTATCGGGCCGTAATGAAAATAAAAAAAATAATGCCGAGTGCCCCAGATCTTGGCACTCGGCATATCCCTTCATATGACCCCAGCGGCCCGCACCCTCGCGCACACAACACACCCTTCACACACACGCCGCACCGCACGCCGCCACCCCCCGCCGCCTCCCCGCCCCACCGCGCCCCTCCACCGGCGCGACATCGCTGTCTCGCCTTGGCGCCACGCCGCGCCCGGCGCGTCCGCCCCAGCGCCGCCCGCCCTCGGTGCCCGCCCACCCCAACCACTTCCCACCCGGCCGCGTCCGCCCCAGCGCCGCCCACCCTCGGCGCCCGCCCGCCATCTGGCGCCGCCCGCCCAACACGTCACGCCCCGGCGCGTCACATCTGGCGCCGACCGCCCCGGTGCGTCCCGCCCCCGGCCTCCGGCTCCCCGTAGTATCCCTCTGCCCCGGTAAGATTTTCTAAATGCTCCATATAATTGTAGGCACCCAAGGACTTAACAATATTTAGTCTAGCTTTGGATTGATAATTGCTATGTGCCATGCCTATATATAAAACATAATAAAAGAGTTCAGGAGTTATAGCATCTCAACTAGATTCCTTTTCCTGAAATCTAAAGTAGGAAGTTGATGCAGTGAAGGCCTCTCGTTTCTAAAGATAACTGCATTCCTTCGCTTCCATAACTGCCAGCATGCTAGTGCCACTAGTGTCTCAAAACATTGTTGAGGAATACTGTTTGGCCAATCAAGCTTGTGTAGTTCGGACAGATCTTGTCCAGACGGCATAGCAACTCGAAATGCAGCCCAGTAAAAGTTGTCTTCATTTTTGGCATCATGTCTCCCTGTCTCTTGTTCTTGGACTTATAACTATCTTATATTCTTGCTTTGGTTACACTGCCATGAACAATAATACACTGCATGTACAGAAAAATTGTTAAAGAGTGAACATGTGATAAGTAGCTACTAAGCTCCTGCTCAGTCTAAGCACTTCTACTATTAAGTGAGGATGCCTCTAGCAGATAAATATAGTTAGGTGTTTCAAGTGCCTATATGTCACCATAATACTGATTTATTAGCTATATCATGATCAAATGCTTATTATTCTAAAATTGAGCCACAACCAAACTTGTAGCTGTAACAGATAGTGCACATGCAAATGTTAGCAATCTAAACATGCACTGACTATATGCGTGTCTCAACTTGCAGGTTTTTGTCGCCGCTCCCTGCCCCGCCCTGCCGCCTGGTTCCACCTTGCCCTCCTGCCGCCCCACAAATTCGAGTTGCTGTGTTTTTGCACGAGTTGCCGTGTTTTTGCAAGGTATAAGATGTGCATGTGGTTGTCGGCCATCGTGCTGTTTGTTTGGTGTGGATGTGGTTGTCGGCCATCGTGCCGTTGTATTTGTTGCAGGTTTTGTAAAAGCCTCCCCATGCAGGGGAGGTGCTGTCGAAATTTAGATTTGACACTACTATGTTCCTTTTATTGCAGGAGAGGCTATTGCAACGTCCTCGACTCGTCACTTTGCAGGACAGCAAGGTGAGGCATACAAGACCCTTCTTTCCATATCATGTTCGTATATCACATAACCTAGCTAGGCGTCTCCCATTCGAAAGAGATACGGTTGGAAATATGCAGATCTTTGCATATCTATAACCGTATCTGTTTCGAATTGTCCACGTTTTTTGGACAGCCCGAGGATGTGTAGATGCGATTAGTTTCCATGCTCTACTCCGATCCGTGATAGAGTTTCAGCAGCATCTCCCTGTTGTTCTCTGGATACACAATCTCGCTTCCAGGATGTGTATTTGGAGAACAACAGGGAGGTGCAGCCAAAATTCTATCTCGGATAGGAGTAGAGATGGAAACTAACCCCATCTATACATCATCGGGTGGGATTAGGACCTATCTTCACCTATTAGATAGTATAGGAACGTGTAGATGCAACGTGATTTTTATATTACTCGCTGATATGCTAGAGGATGGATGACCGTGAGTGGATGTACACGGGACGCTTTAGTCAGACTTCGTTGACTGAAGAATGGATTGACAAGACCGATGCTTTCTTGGAACAGACATTTGCAAGGGTTAAAGGAGCTAGTGTCACTTGGTGTCCCTGCAGCAAATGTGCAAACACGCGTCGGCAAACCAAGCTGATCATGGGTAAACATCTTTGCAAGAATGGATTTACGGTAGACTATACCAGGTGGATCTACCATGGTGAAGCCGATCGTGGGAGAGACGAGGTCGTGAGACAACGCTTCAAGGAATATGATGGGGATGCCGGGGTAGGAGACATGTTAAATGACTATCATGAAGCACACTTCGATGAAGGACGTAGGGAGGAGGAGCCAGAGGCTACCGCAAAGGCGTATTATGACATGTTGTCTGCGGCACAGCAACCCCTTCATGGGTATTCCAAGGTTTCTCAACTGGATGCCATTGCACGCCTAATGGTCGTGAAGTCCCAGTTTAGCATGAGTCGAGATGCCTTTGATGTTATGCTCACAGTTGTTGGCAGCCTGCTCCCGGATGGTCACATTTTGCCAAAGAGCATGTATGAGGCACAGAAACTCCTTCATGCACTTAAGATGCCATACGAGCAGATACATGCTTGTCCGAAGGGGTGCATCTTATTTAGGAAAGAGTATGCGGAAGAAAAGTATTGTGTGAAGTGCGAATCGTCTAGGTTCCTAGAGGTAGACTCTTGTGATGGTCAGAAGAGATAGCTCGCAATCCCCGTGAAGATCCTATGGTACCTTCCTTTCATATCGAGGATCCAACGGCTTTACATGACTGAGGAATCCACGAAACAGATGACATGACACAAAAACGGACGTCGATACAATCCTAAGAAGATGGTACACCCATCCGATGGTGAAGCCTGGACAAGGTTTGATGAGATTCATCGTGAGAAAGCTCTAGAGTCTCGTAATGTACGTGTTGCGCTGGCAACAAATGGGTTCAATCCTTATGGAATGGCGGTTGCCCCGTACACATGTTGGCCCATGTTCGTTATCCCCCTCAATCTCTCCCTGGCGCCCTCTTTCAACGACAGAACATATTCTTGTCGTTGATAATTCTAGAACACCCGGGGAGTAATATGAGTGTGTACATTGAGCCTCTGATTGATGATTTGGTCCGTGCTTGGGAGGAAGGGGTATGGACATACGACCGAGCTACAAAGACAAACTTCAAGATGCATGTTTGGTACCAGTACTCCCTGCATGACTTGCCGGCATATGGGATTTTCTGCTGCTGGTGTGTTCACGGGAGGTTCCCATGTCCGGTATACAAGGCTTCTCTGATGTTCATTTGGTTGACAAAGGGTGGCAAGTATTCTTCGTTCGACAGACATCGACAATTCCTCCCTCCTGACCATCCATTTAGACTAGACATCAAGAACTTTACGAAAGATGTCGTAGTTAAAGACCCTGCACCGCAGATGATGACAGGAGCCGCGGTTTGTGCTCAGTTAGACGGTCTCGAGGTCAATAAACAAGAAGGTGGTTTTGTGGGATATGGCGAGCAACATGCCTGGACTCAGAAGTCGTGCTTGTGGAACCTCCCCTATTTTGATGATCTTCTTCTTTCACATAACATTGATGTAATGCACACTGAAAAGAATATCGTTGAGACAATTTTTGGTACAATCATGGACATTCCTGATAAGACAAAGGATAATGTTAAGCCTAGAGTGGATCAAGCGAGGTTATGCGATAGACCAAAGCTGAACATGGCGCCTCCCAGAGCCGGCAAGTCATGGAGAAAGCCTAAGGCCGATCCTAGCATCCACAGCCGCGTTAATGAGTACACAGCGATGGCAAGACAGGTTCATGGGCCACAGTTCGATCCGAGCACCCAGGATCTTGATGGAGAAATCGTGATGAGGGTGGGAGGAGGCAAAAAGCATGGCCGGTACTGGATTGGCGACAGTACACTCGACACGGCCTCTACTCCCACTCTCTCCTAGATCCGAGCAAGGAGCACGAGCTCGAGCCCGACGATACGCCCACAGCCAACCGCTACACAGTTCTAGATGGAGGCTCTCCAGATTATTTCTATTTTATTCATCATTCGTTGATTGTTACGTACTTTAGCTTTGCATTGTAACATTGGCCTCGTTCGCTTGTCTTAAATTTGGCTTGTTCGACTTATTTTTTCAGCCGAAACAATGTTTTTCTCTCACAACAATTCAGCCGGAATAGTGTTTTTCAGCCAGTTTCAGCCAAAGTTCAGACCAGCGAACGGGGCCATTGGGATGAAATGTTATAGGCCCAGGTGGAAGCAGAAACGAAGCAACGGGAGGAGATGGAGGCGAGGATGGAGGAAAGGATTCATCAGAGGATAGGGGCCGAGCGGCAGAGGATGGAGGAAGAAAATCGGTTGAGGATGGACCAAATATTCCAATACACGTAGAATTTTGCATCGAGTATGGGTCAACCTTTACCACCGCCACCGATGCTATTTCCTTCACCTCAGCCACCCACAACTACTCACGTGAGTCACTTGACACCCTATACTGTAGATTGAATGTTTGTTGTTGTTGGTCTCAATGTTTCATTTGACGCTTGCACCTGCGATATGTTTCGGGCTCTTGTCAAATCCTCGATTGCACCTGCGATATGTTTGTTAGCAAAAATAACCGGACTTGGAAGGCATTTTGATCTGCATGGACATGCTCTCCTCTGTTCCCATAGTCGGAGCCAGCAGCAGCCACCAGTTCAAACCCACTCACCCCAGCGCCTTGGCCTTTGAGTGCGGTTGTAATCTGGTGGATGGCGTTGCAGACATGGCTGTTGATTGCAGTGACGCTGGAGAGATTCAGTTTAGCTGAGGGCACCGCGCTAGCTAGCACCTGCATGCCGACGGTGAGGAGGCAGCCATTGGCAGGCTCATCTGTGTTACCTGGGCTGCTTTCGCCATTGCTGGAGCTTGTGCTGGTTGCTGCTGGCGAAGGGTTGGTGGCTGGGAAGATGGCAAAGCCCAGGGGGAGAAGGAGGATGTAGGAAGGGTCCTCGCCACTCATTGTCACTTGGATGGCATCCACATCCACAGTCGCAAACACCACAAGGCTCCCGCCATCAGGGTGGGTGCTGGTCTCCTGCAGCATGAGCTCCACATTCTGGGAGGAGTTGCTTGCAGCCTGTTGTTTTCATCACATGCAAAAATTTCAGTTCTTGAAACTTCATATCAATACATAATGCTAAAGTAAACTGTATTTCGGGGATCATATATAAATAAAAGAACCGGAAAATAATGACTTCTTACAAGAAAGATGAACAGAAACCAACCACAACAAACATTTACGTTATATGCATGACTGTAAGTTTCACAAGCATGCATTTCTTCAGTATGCACTTAGCGTTAAATGAAACATTTACTGCTGATATAGCTCATTGTGTCTGCAAGTAGATTTGTTTTTTTGATATAAATTGCTTTTCATGGACCAGCTAGTATTTTACTGCTTTTCATGGACCAGCTAGCTAGCTACTCGCTGGTGGACCAGCTAGCTACTGCATTACATCTGCAAGTATTTTACTGCTTTTCTTTATATAAATCTGCAAGTATTTTACTGCTTTTCATGGACCACCTAGCTAGCTACTCGCTGGTGGATGCAAGTAGATTTGTTTTTTTATATAAATTGCTCGAAATTAACAAGTTGTGCTTAACACCATGTTGCAACTGGCAGCAGCAGTTGAATCTAGATGGCTCAGTTAACGCGGCGAAGGCAATTGAATCTATTATCATGTTGAATTTAACAAAAATATATATGTTTTATTGTCAGTAAACATTGCTAGAGTTGTTAGTACTAACCTATATATCATTTTTCAGCAACTTAAAAAGGAAGCTAACACTGTTTCGAATACTTCTCTTTTGTGCAGAATCAATCGGCGGCATCAAATAATCAGTCTCAAGACCCGGATTTGTCGCAGAGGTTCCAAGGGCCTCCGCAGTGATTGCATTTGTATTTATGGCCTATTGTGACTTAGTTGTGACTTGTGATGATGGTTTATTGTAAATTGTGATGATGATTTATTTTGACTTGTGATAATGGTTTATTGTGACTTGTGACCATGGTTTATTGTGAATTATGATGATGGTTTATTATGCCTGTGATGATGTTTTATTGTGAATTGTCATGGTTTATTGTAAATTTAGAGGGATCCGTTATACGTGACAGATTAGTAAAAAGGAGGGATCTTGGTCGCTTTGCCGAGTGTAACACTCCGAAAAGAGAGGAGTTGCCGAGTGCCAAGGCAAAACACTCGGCCAAGAGGCCATTTTCTGTTATCTGGAACCTTCTTTGCCGAGTGTGTTGATTTTGCCAAGTGTATTCTAATGGACACTCGGCAAAGTGACCATAAAATCTGGTCGTTGCGCGCTTGTTTGCCGAGTGTTTTGAGCGTTGCACTCGGCAAAGTTTAGAAACTTTGCCGAGTGTTTTCGTCTTGACACTCGGCAATTTGCCGAGTGTTTTTCCATCGTGCATTCGGCAAAATCGCCATCACCGTGCCATCCCATTAACATTTTTTTGCCGAGTGTTTATTTTTGCCGAGTGTTTATTGACACTCGGCAAACTATTTGCCGAGTGCGTGATAAAAAACAATCGGCAAATTGCTGTTTGCCGACAAATTAATGCCTTGTGTTGTATGCCGAGTGTAACACTCGGCAAAGCATTTGCCGAGTGTTTTTTGTCCTTTGCCGAGTGCCCTGTATCATGTAGTGAATGACGGTCGGACAATGGCGGCACCAAGCGGGAAGAAGACACCACCATATGAGACTCAAATTGAGGTTTTGACAAATTTTCAAGAGAGGTTGATTTGAGGGTGCTGGTGGGAAATTGATTGAAGGAAAAGCCAGGCATGTTTCCCATGTGTCATTCACTGCCACTGGGGTGACCTATCCGAGGTTGAAGACGACGTAAACAACGCCAAGAGCAATAATGATGGTCGGACAATGGCGGCAGAGGGAAGAAACAAACTATGTAGATGATGGGAGCCCACCTCTCCTGGCTTCCGACTTGAGTGCCAGAGGCAGGCTTTTGGTACCGTAGACCAATCAGATTATAGTGGCATTGTCCTGTTAGTGCTGACTGTTCTCTAAAAGAATGTTTCAGTAGGCGACTTTTCTATGGTAGTTTGAAAAAGATGGGCTTGGATGCTGCAAGCAACTTGCAATACAAGATATTGACGGAGATGTTTCTCAAAAAGGTGTTTGGATTGAAAGTAAAGTGGTGTAGCATTTTCATGCTCCTTTTTTTCTGTTCATGCTCACATGATTCACTATAAGGTAAGTGGTGTAGCATTTTCATGCTCCTTTTTTTTTTTCTGTTCATGCTCCATTATCATATGATTCACTATAAGGTAAAAATTAGTCTAATATGATGGAGTCATTTCATCAAATTCCATATCACCTCATCTATGATAGTACCTAAGTTATCTTCAAGCTACGGTTCTCCGGAGTGGACTCGGATGTTTTTAGCCTTTTGGACACTTATATTAGCCATATAACTAGAAAAAATAAATAAATAAATAAGTGGTGGTAAACACTGAGACTAAAACCTGCATGAAAAAAACACCGAGGCTAAAACCCATCAACCCATCCCAATCGAATACAAAAGCAAATTGAACATACAGAAGAAATCTCCAAAGGATAGCCAATTGCCATTTTAACTCAAAACTAAACTAATTAGGAAACAGTACAACGTCAACAGCTAATAAGAGAATATAAGACCGATTTTCCACTTTGAACTAAATAAAAGACCTAGAACACAACTGAGAAAACTAGTAGGTTACTTGACCAACTGACTATTATGCAGGGTTGTTCTAAACATGAGTGCCAGCGCTCACATGAGCATCCTTGTAACATCAGGGTGAAGCTAGTGGTGTATGGTTATCTTCCCCACCGTGACACGCACGCGTGGCCCACAAAAACCCAAGCGAGTGGTGGTTTCTCTTCGTTGTTCATCCCGATTGGCTGCACACTTTCGTGGTCTATACAGGGTGAAGCGTGCTTCGCTCTGCTTCCAAAATAATTTGTGTGGCTGCACAATCTGCACATGGTAGAAGGAATCTTTAATTTGTCTTTACATTGCCATCGCTGCAGTATACAACGACAGCACCGACTTTTTTAGTTTTTAATCTTTTTAAAAAAAATATTCACATTTACACTTAGGAGACCTATTTTTATTTTTTGGACCCTAGGCGTTAGCGCCACAACCCATGGCGCTGAGCTTACACGCCTCGACGCTACAAACCATGGTGCCGAGCCTAGAGGCCAGGCTTTGGCATGGTGGTAGCATGGTGGCAACGTGGCTTGAGCATGGCACCGTGGATCTTGGCGCGGAGCTCGGCGCCACAGAAGAGCCTACGACTATAGTGTCCGTGATCGGTGAGGCTGCCAAAACAGAGGAAACTCTGCCGAAATTTTTTGGCGTTTTTGTAATATGTATCATAGGACTATTATGGTTGTTGGAAGAACTATGGACTTAGCCTTGTGGTGTGTAGATCTATAATGGTGTAGATGGAACATTGAACTTCTGTAATGTGGTGCAGACATGCAACAATTGTTATCACGATTATCGTTTGTGGATCATACTTAGAAATATTGGTTATTGGAATTGACGGACTTCTATTTAAATAATATTTGGTTTGGCCATGCTTAGTTGTTCTCCATAAAATATCGATTAAATGATAGATTGCAATTTACGATGGGGGAATGGAAAATTGGTACTTCAAATGAAACACAGTTGTTATTTTGAAGCTCGAAGTTATAGGTGGTAAACACTGGGAGGACATGACACAAAGTTGTTCATACCTAGTACACCTGATACATCACAATCCTTAGTACACATGATACACTAGTAGGCGGATTCACGCGCTCTGCTGCGCAACAAGGTTTTATACATCGGAAACGTTGTATATATATCTCATTGAGAGTTACAACTTTGATATAAAATGTATTGAGAGCTACAACTTTGATATAAAATATATCTTTATTTGACACCGTACAAAAAAAAGATATCATTTTTCTAATGCGACAAACACTAGTACGCGATTATTGTGCAGCTGAAATTTTATATTATTTTTTCGAGCATCTTCGACCTTAAATATAAAAAGTCAAAACTATAAAGTTGTAGATCTCATTGAGAGCTACAACTTTGATGCAAAAAAAATCTTCATTTGACACTATAAAAAAAGCTATTATTTTTTTAATACGACAAGCACTAGTACCCTATTATTATGCTTCTAAAATTTTATATTATTTTCTTGAACATTTTAGGGTCCTCAAATAAAAAAAACTCAAAACTAGAAAGTTGTATATTTCATTGATATCTACAATTTTTATATAAAATTCATCTTCATCGTACGTAATAACGAAAAGTTATGATTTTTCTAAAGCTTAGCCTTGTCATGCCACTCTGGGTGACGCGACAGGCTAATACTGTCACGCCACCGAGAGTGGCGCAACAAGGTTTTATACATCGGAAACGTTGTCTAACGTATAGCAAATGTTATTGCGCCATTGACAATGTTATTTGGTCGAGCCGATGGCACTGGCGCGACCAAAAGGGCCAGATCTGCAAAAAAAAATTAGGAGTAATTATTATTAAAATATTGAATAAATTGATCGTGTAAATATAGAAACAAGGTCACCTTACAATGAAGCTCACGATCAACTCGAGCGGTGATATCTGGAGGCCTCGTGCAATGAATGGGGTTCAAGAAAAGGGTAGTGTCGGAATACCGTCGGGCAAATAAATAAACATTTTCTACCGTGAGAACCATAGGAAAGCTATAGGTCTTACTTAGCCCTGTTTGGCATAGCTTCACGGATAGCTTTATGAGTTTTTTTTTGCTAAACATCATCTTCAAAAACAGCTTCATGAGAGAAGTGCCTTTTTTTTGCTCTCACATAGTGACGGGTGGGATGAAGCTGGAAAAAGTAGCTTATCCTAGCTTCACCTGACACATGTGGGGCCCAGCATGCACAAAAGACTGCTTTGCCTAGCACAAGGAGAGAGTGCACACACTCGGGGAGGGAGCGCGCATGGCCCGCCAGGGGTGCGGCCATCAGGGCTTGACCCGCTAGGGTGCAGACGCCGGGGCA